CCCTCCCCCCTCCCCTTCTCTCCTCTCTCAGTTTTCCTCTCTCCCCTCCCCTCCCCTCCCCTCCTCTCCTCTACATCTATTATCCCCTTCACCCCGAACGAGGATTTACAGTGTTGGTATATTTATCAAGGCCTTGGTTTCCATGCCATACTTATATTAAGCTGCTATTATCTCTAAGAACCAACTGAATAAATATTCTCTTAAATAAGGTTGCTAGATTTTAAACCTCAACGTTAATCGTATTACATTAGATTTTCGAAATGTTTCCGTAATGTCAGTTAGCATTCCGGCTTCATGAGTTTAGCTTCATAATTGAAGTGTGCAATCAGTTAAAAACAATCTTGAAAAGAGACGACTGAAGTCGCGCAAACTCTCGAAGACAGAACTAATTGTAATCAAACAAGCTAGATGATGTAAATAATGAAGAGAGCTGTTTCCTTGATGACAGGAAGAGGAAAAAAAGAGGAAATTTCCTTTTGCTTGTAAGTTAATTGGAGGACTGAAAAAAATTGAATTGAAGCTCCGATGCTGTAGTAGAGAATGACCGTCCTCTGGATTCTGAACACAAAATCAACAAACAACAACAACGACAACAACAAAAGCTACAACGACGACGACGACGACGAGAACAACAACGACAACAACAACAACAACGACAACAACAAAAGCTACAACGACGACGACGACGACGAGAACAACAACGACAACAACAGCCACAACAGAAACAACAGTAACATCAACAACAACTTGCAACTGCAAAAAAAATCACAGCTGCCTAGTGAATTATTAATTTATTAACAGGAAAAAAACTAAGGAAATAAAAACAAAAATAAGCACATGAAAAATATATGACATAGGATTAATTCATGAGCATTAATCAAATTCGTTGACAAAACAAAACGCCATTATTTCATGATTTCATGCGTCTTGGTACGGTGTTTGGAAAGTGTTTTGAGATGAACCGGTTCCATTGGTTTTGGATAAAATGAAAAACCTTTCCCTTCGTTTTACTATTTTTACTAAATTTACTATCATTACTCCGTTATTCTTCAATTTCATCGAGCTTACATTAGATAAAGCTCTTTTACCTTAACAAAAAGATGTTTGTTATTCGAGGCGCAAAAGAATGAATACAAATTCGGTGGAAAAACGGAAGAAAGTCATGGCAAGCAAGTGCGTGCATCAGTTCATCATCTCACCAGAGGGTACATGCGAGGAAGGAAGATTTAGCTGAAAGCGCCTGGAAGCACATATTCATTATCTTTCATGGAAACACTTCCTCTGCTTAAGCTGTCTTTCCTCACGTACACTGTTTTATTATGGAACTACACTTGGCTCAGATCATTCAAGTCCTACCGATATTTAATGAGGAAAAATAACTACAAAATTATATGAAAACCCTTTTTGCAATGAATATAAAACATATATATGGAATATTTTTTTGCTGGTATGTTCTGATATGTTAATTGTATCAAATTTCACTAAGCAAAAAAAAAAAAAAAAAAAAAAAAAAAATTAAAAAAAAAAAAAAAAAAAAAAAAAAATCCCTTGGAATATCGTGAAAAAATTCAACCAATGATTGTTGCACCCTTAAGCATTGCATCTTTGAAGTTTCAACCGAATTAAACTTTCTTCAAAGACAATTGTCATCCAAGAACCATTTCAAGAAGCATTAATATATACCGGGTATTCATTTATAGTAGTTCATTCCGTGCTTTTATTTAATTCTCAGACAAAGATGTATGTGTTCCTAACCCATGTATTAATGGAGGAACCTGTAAACGTGAAGTTCTTATTCATCCTGGTCATATCCACGTGTCCGCGGAGTTCACATGCGTCTGTCCTCCCGGATTTGCACCACCAGATTGTAGAAACAGTAAGTTAACGTAAATTGGTCAGTTTTAATAAGCTAACACACTGAAAGCTAGCTTCATGACTCCATACATGCATGACACCTAAAATGAGTACAAAGTAACAGTCTTTCTACATCTGCAGCATTATGCAAGAGATAAGCCTGCAAA